GAATGACTAGAATGCTGGAACAAAATCAGGCCTGCCTTAGTAATGTGTTTTCCACTTATGAAATTGGAGTGTGGGTACTCTGTTGCCATGGATATTTGCTATTTAAATATGTTGAAAGGTTTAAAATGTTCTCTTGTTTTTGTAGGACTTCATAATGTGAGTAGTAAATTATCCAGGAAGATAATAAAAAATTATGTGTTAGGATTAATATAGACTAAAAATTGTTGACTGCAGTTTAAAAATTCATGTTACTTCTGTTGTGATTAAAAACTGCCTCTGTTTAAATCTTTCTTTTAACAGATGTTTCAGTTACCATTAAAGTAAATATAAGTGATTCATAGATTCTGGGAAGATAATGCTAACAACTTAATAAGGCATAATTTTAACCATGAATGAAGTAGCATCTTAGCATTTGAAATAGCCTCAAAGCATTCTGCTTTGCTGATTGTTTGCTTGCAGTCCTTTCATTATTAAAGACATATGTGATTAGTTTTAAAGAGTGTGTGATTCAGCTGTCACACTTGAAACCTAGAGGTGCAATTTGAAATTACATACCAGCTATTACAGAAATGAGCTTACTGAAAAAATTTTGCTGCATACTACAATAAATAATGGCAGAAGTTTGATTTAATTCTTATGTGTCACAATTACTGATTATTATATAAATATATCAGATATTGTTGTCTATGGAAAATATGGGATGAGAATTACTAAGCATTTTTATCCTGAAACGTACTATCAGGTATAAAAAGGAAAATTGCTGACCTAATAAATATACAGAGCTCATACAATTCATTGTCATGTACATCTGCTGCTTTCATATCTCCAATTGATTACTCCACATTTCCACTTGGATGACATTTTTTATTTTTATTTTTACAGTCTGTTTGAGGCAGCTCTGCTTCTGTATCTATTTTTGTTCATAAGTTTATAATGGTCTTTATTATCCATAAATGAGTGAGATCATGTGGTATTTTTCCTTCATTGACTGGCTTATTTCACTTAGCATAATACTCTCCAGTTCCATCCATGCCGTTGCAAATGGTAAGAGTTCCTTCTTTTTTACAGCAGCATAGTATTCCATCGTGTAGATGTACCACAGTTTTCTAATCCATTCATCTACTGATGGGCACTTAGGCTTTTTCCAGATCTTAGCTATGGTGAATTGTGCTGCTATGAACATATGGGTGCATATATCCTTTCTGATTGGTGTTTCTGGTTTCTTGGGATATATTCATTGGATGACATTATTTCATGCAAACCTGTTATCTGATGCTGAGCTCTTGATCAGTAATGAAACTTTCAATTATACCATTTCTTTGGAAAAAAAAGACTGTTTTGTGACCTGTTTTAGAGTGTAGTGAAAAATGACTATTATCATTTCAAAGGACACTTGTACTTACTTCTCTCGTTATCACTGCACACTCTTCATATCTCAAATTGTATTCTCTCATCCTAAATACCTGCAAGGCAAGAGATCTTTGCATAATTGAAAGCACTGGACTTGTGTCCTCCTCTGAACATCATTTTCCTTATTTGTAAAAAATGAGGGTGTTAAACGAGAAGATCTATAACATTGCTTCAGGTGTCTCACTCTAAAAATTGAGGTGTTTAAGAACATCACCCTGTATGGGTGGTATGCCAATTTTCTTCTGTTCTCACATTGGTCATCTATTATCCTAGTCCATTTAATTGTAAACAGCCTTGTAAGTAGTTTTTTATTTGAAATTTTCTGTTCTAATTTTTCCTTCCATTTTAAAATATATATATATATTATTGATGTTTTTACAGAGAGGAAGGGAGAGGGATAGAGAGTTAGAAACATCGATGAGAGAGAAACATTGATCAGCTGCCTCCTGCACACCCCTTACTGGGGATGTGCCCGTAACCAAGGTACATGCCCTTGACTGGAATCGAACCTGGGACCCTTGAGTCCGCAGGCCGATGCTCTATCCACCTGAGCCAAACCGGTTGGGGCTCTTTCCATTTTTGCTAATCTTAGTCCAGGCCTAGGTCAAACAAGAGCTTATTTCCAGTCTTTCTTCATTTTGTTTTATCCCCATGTTGCTTTATGACTTATCTGCCCTCAAGATCAGTTTCATCAAGTTACTTTTTTTAAAAATATATAAATCTTTGCCGAAACCGGTTTGGCTCAGTGGATAGAGCGTCGGCCTGCGGACTAAAAGGTCCCAGGTTCGATTCCGGTCAAGGGCATGTACCTGGGTTGCAGGCACATCCCCAGTAGGAGATGTGCAGGAGGCAGCTGATGGATGTTTCTCTCTCATCGACGTTTCTAACTCTCTATCTCTCTCCCTTCCTCTCTGTAAAAAATCAATAAAATATATTTTAAAAAATAAATAAATCTTTATTGTTGAAAGTATTACATATGTCCCTCTGTTTCCCCCATTGACCCCCTCCATCATCAATTTACTTCTATTTAGAAAGTGTTTTTGGCTTAATTCCACATATCATACAAGTTTCTGTTTATTCTAGTAACTTTCAGATCCCTAGCACAGTTTTCTGTTTTAATCATATTGGTGTCCTTAACCTCATCCTATGTTCTTTCCATCTGTTTTACTAAATTATTCTCCTTACCTGAATGCCTTTTTCTTTAACCCCTTCTGCCATTCTGAGAGATTAGCTTGTGAAACTTAACTTGGCCACTCCAGTAGTATATGGTATTCTCTGAGGGTTTGTGTAAACTTTCAACAGTCCTTGAGATAGTGGCATTAATCATAACTTACACAGAAGATTCTGAGGCTAGTGAGCAGTGGAACTGGGATTTGAATTTTGTTTGGGATATTTTTACTTCTCCTTAAAAAAATGGCCAAAGAACCCCAACAAACACATAAACAGAGTTAATGACACAGATTTAAGTGCTCAACATAATCTGGCACCTAGCATGTACCAGTATTTGTTAAACATTTAGATGGACATTTTTCTTAACGTTTGAGAGTTCCTTTCTCTACTTAATTTATCAAAGGAGCTTGAAGTAGGGAAGCCCTTCTTCATCTGACGAGTGTCTCATTTTTGTTTAGGAACCCTGGGGAGATCTTTCACGAAATCTTTCAAAGGGATAATAGTAAAACATTTTCTTTTTTTACATTAAAGGCTGAAAAAGAGATGGCCTTTGTGTGTATGTTCAGTAATCATCCGTTCATGATAGTGAATAGATATTTTTAGGGCTAAGACTGAGCAATACAAGCAGTGTTAATGAGATTTTAAAGGACATCATACTAATTGTTGGAAGTTACTCATGCAGTTGGATTATCAATGACTGTCAAAGTGAAAATGTGGTTTTTAAGAGTAGTAGCTAATAGACAGTTTCCTTATAAAAATCGAGGTCACTGTGCATAGTGATCAACCCTATTTTTTGGCTTCATTCCCCTCTTCTATGTGATTGACTCCCCAGTGCTTAACCCCCTTATAGCTCTCTTTAATCCTGCAACTTCAACTCACTGCTAGATCTTTCCATTGGTGACCTGTCATCTCAAACCTAACATTCATAATTTGCTGTTGTATAATTGTATGTATAATTGTGTGTTTATGTTATTGTATTATGTTCACAAGCATAAAGTTCTTGTGTGAGGATCATAGCTTACATTCCTTTGAATGCCCTGTACCTATTGTAGTGCTTTGGGTACAGTAGGAAACCAAATGCATGTGATTACAGTAATTTCATGGCAAGAGTAGCTTTTTTCTTTTGGTAACTTCAAAAACCTGGTTGGTATTCATCCAGAGTTCAGATATAATTGCAAAGTCTATAGAATCAGACAATAACAAGAAGGTTCTGTTTTGTATCTTGTAAAAACAAGAGCATTATCTTTGAAAGTTATATACTGCTTGTAGAAAATTTTTTTATCTGTTTGATAAAAAAACTTAAACACATTTATTTAAAATTAAATCCTTTCTTAGTTTTGGAGGTAATGGATATATGTTTATTACCTTGATTGTGTTATAGTTTCAGGCTATATGCATATGTCCAAACTCATCAAATTGTATACATTAAATATGTTACACTTCTTTGTATATTAGTTATAAATCAATAAAGCTTTTAAAATTCATTTTAACTGACTTTTAATAGGCAATACAAAATTATAGCACTTATTTTTGCTGTTCATCTCACTTTAAACTGGTTTGATTTTCTGTGTATTAGGCTTGCTTGCATTTCTCCTTTACTTACACATTATCTCTGACCTTTTTTCTCCCCTAATTTTTCTTTTATAATACTTCTGGTTTTTATTTTTTAAAAAATATATTTTATTGATTTTTTACAGAGAGGAAGGGAGAGGCATAGAGAGTTAGAAACATCGATGAGAGAAAAACATCGATCAGCTGCCTTCTGCACATCCCCTACTGGGGATGTGCCCGCAACCAAGGTACATGCCCTTGACCGGAATTGAACCTGGGACCCTTCAGTCTGCAGGCCGACGCTCTATCCACTGAGCCAAACCGGTTAGGGCAATACTTCTGGTTTTGAAAGTGTTCTGCTTTATATTAAGGGCATATTTTAATTGTTTCGAGGTTGTTAATACAGACTTGAGGACAAGGACCAACCATGATTTATTTGTCTTTATATTGGCACTGTGTCTAGCACAGTATCTGGCAAAGAGCCATTTAATGGCAGATCACTCAGGTCTCTTGAGATATGGAGACCAGTGCTCCTTTCTCATGATGCTATGTGGACCATAGCCTACATTCGCATTCTGAATTAAAAACCTTAATGATGATTGACTCTTAAGTTAGCACTTTGACAGGTCTTGATTATGATTTTAAACTTTTGGAAAATATCATTGAGTAAGTGACTATATACAAAGAGTATATTGATGTTGCTACACTGTCTAAAATAGGAGTGAATCAGAATTAATGTCTTCTGATTCTGTATTTGTCATGACTTTGATTAAAGTAATTTTTAATAAAGATAAAATATGTTGTGGTATTTAAAATGTATTTTTAAAATATTTTGCTTTCTCTACCCCCTTCTTCTTATTTTTATAAAGTTACCGGGCAGTGACATTGCCAGTGGGAGTGATGTGCTTTCTGATGTCATACCCAGTATTCCAAGTTCACCTTGCCTGCTTCCTAAAAAGAAAAACAAGCACAGGAATTTAGACGAACTTCCTTGGAGTTCAATGTCAAATGATGAACAGGTAGAGATCTTGGCATTTTAATTAAAAGCATATATGTGGAGACTATATGAAGCTCAATTTATTGCCTGTTTAAAGTCACAGGGTAAATATGGATTGCATAGTGAATCTGAATTTTAGCGATAACTAATTGTTTTTTAGGGAACAAATTAACATTAAGTGCTTTGATATTTAAAATATAATAAATGACATACTAGACAATCAGGTTTTGACATTGATCTTGTTTATTATAATTTTTTATTACATAGGTGGAATATATTGAGTATCTGAGTCGCAAAGTCAGTACTGAGATGGGTCTTCGGGAGCAACTTGATATTATTAAAATAATTGATCCTTCTGCTCAAATCTCCCCTACAGACAGTGAGTTTATTATTGAACTTAACTGTCTCACAGATGAAAAACTGAAGCAGGTATGTAAAAAAATATATAGATTGTTCAGCTATAGAAAATATCATTGTTTCGTAGCATGTATACTTGAATAATATGTAAATACATAGATAATTAGCTTAAAAAATCATTTTCATATATAATGAAAATAATGATTATTGAGAGTTATACTTGCTGAACATCTGAACTGAAGGATTTGAGTAGTCTTATGGAGTAATTGAGTTTGGCTAGGGTAAAATATTATAAATGTAATATAAAAATTATGGTAATATTTGAGAACACGTGTTTTTTTTTTAAATAAAGATTTTTTATTGGTTTTTAGAGAGAGAGGAAGGGAGATGGAGAGAGAGAAATATTGATGTGATAGCAAAACATCGATCAGCTGCCTCCTGTATAGCACCTACCAGGGTTCAAGCCCACAACCCAGGCATGTGCCTTGACTGGGAATCAAACCAGCAACGTTTTGGTGTACAGGACAATACCCAACCAACTGAGCTACACTGGCCAGAGTGAGAACAGGTGGTTTTAAGAGGTTTTATGTACATCTCACCTGGCAGGACCTTTCTGGGATCGTGTGGATCTTGAACCTGCTTCTTAGTTGTGTAGGCTTTGAAACTTAATTTCACCACATGAGGGATGGTTACACTAAAGTATAGATTTATTCTAACTCAGCTTACAAAAGATTGATTGATATAATGAAAATAATGATTATTGAGAGTTACACTTGCATGAACATCTGAACTGAAGGATTTGAGTAGTCTTATGGAGTAATTGAGCTTGGCTAGGGTAAAACATAATTAATTTTCCCTTATGCTATTTTGAAATACACATTTCTGGTATCTTTTAAGTATAGTCTTTACTGCTCTTTTTCGCCGGCACATAGCTAAATGAATACTTCTGTTCTACTTTTTTTGAAATTTATCATTATTTATGAAACATTTTTCTCATTTCAGTATTTCTCTCAACAAACATTATAATGTTCTATGTTCAATCCCCTTTTTCATTAGTATGATAAATTGATACCTTGCATTTGAAGGCAGCTACTGTGTGCCCCTAGCTAAGATTTATGAAACACCCTAATATTAGATATACTTAGCAATTTACTTAAATCATCTCTAGTGGAAATCTTTTAAAAAATTTCATCTGCCCTGCTGGTGTTGCTCAGTGGTTGAGCGTTGACCCAGGAACCAAGAAGTCACCAGGTAGATTCCAGGTCAGACCACATGCCCCAGTTATGGGCTCTATCCCCAGTAGGGGTCATGCAGGAGGCAGCCTATCAATGATGTTATTCTTTCGTCGATGTTTCCATTTCTCGATCCCTATCCCTTCCTCCCTCTAAAAAATAAATCAATAATAGCATACTTTAAAAATATATCTATTTTTTTTACTGTTAGTTTCTGTCTCTTGAGTGTTATGATCCTAAATTCTGGATGCCGGTAGCCTTTCATTTATTGATTATATAGGGTGTCGCAAAAGCGTATACACACTTTTATATAGATTCGTTTAAATTTTGAAAATTAACTGTATGTTAATAAACATTGACTTTATAATCATTCAAAGTGTGTATACATTTTTTTGGGGACACCCTTTATTTTATGTGCTTTGAAAATCTAACTCCATAATATATATTCTAGAATTTTGAACATTGTCAAGAGGTTTCTTTTTGTCCTTATATTCTACCTACAGTGGGCCTTGACTTAGGAGTTTAATTTGTTCCGAGACCGAGCTCGTTAAGGAGCTCGTTAACTCAAATTACTCTATCAACTCAATGCAAAAAAATCGGCCAAGAGACAGCTGGTATCTCAAAAAACTCGTTAGTTGGGACATTTGTAATTCAAGGCCCCACTGTATGTATATCTGTAACACTTTTGACAGTCTTTTAAGTACACCATTCTATTCTCGAGTATTTTGAGGGTAGAACGTCAAGTAACAACACTAACTAGTTTTTATCTGTGCGTTCCCAGGTCAGAAACTATATCAAGGAGCATAGCCCTCGCCAACGGCCTGTAAGAGAGGCCTGGAAGAGAAGCAACTTTAGTTGTGCAAGCACCAGTGGAGTGAGCGGTGCCAGTGCCAGCAGCAGCAGTGCCAGCATGGTCAGTTCAGCAAGCAGCAGCGGGTCCAGTGTTGGAAACTCTGCTTCAAACTCCAGTGCCAACATGAGTCGAGCACACAGTGACAGCAACTTGTCTGCAAGTGCAGCAGAGCGGATTCGGGATTCAAAAGTAAAACATCTAATCAATACAAAACTTTACCTTTCAATATTAACATTAGTACTCCCTCATATAAATTTCTTGAAGAGTTAATTGTTTCTTGCTATCTAGATGCCTGGGGGTTGTGATTTTAATTTTTTTTTGTCTTACATTCTTTTATTATGCATATGCATATGCAGATCTGTTTTTTGTACAGTATTTGGTTCTATCAAATTATCATACCAAGGCATTATATTTGTATTTTTCCCCAAATCTATAGTGATTTCATGAGGAGGTGGGATTGGCAAGCAGCTCGTTCTGGTTCAATTGAACAAAGCCCTCTAGGTTGAATCCTTTGAAATACTATTGTGACCCACAGCCATAACACTCAAATTTATCTGATTTTTGTCTCTTTTTTAAAAATATATTTTATTGATTTTTTACAGAGAGGAAGGGAGAGGGATAGAGAGAAACATTGATGAGAGAGAAACATCGATCAGCTGCCTCCTGCTCACTCCCCACTGGGGATGTGCCTGCAACCAAGGTACATGCCCTTGACCAGAATCGAACCTGGGACCCTTGAGTCCACAGGCCAATGCTCTATCCACTGAGCCAAACCTGTTAGGGTGATTTTTGTGTCTCTTTTAAGTAAGATAAATTGATGGAAGCAATGAGTGAATCTCAGGATTGCAATATTGACTATAACTCACTACTGAGTGGGTCTCCCTATATCACTGATGTTACTGTCTATTAGCTCTCAAGAATAGTCTGTCTTTTGTGTATGTTAAATGTTTTTTTAATGTTTTAGTCTTAAGTGTTTCATCTTAGCCCTTTTATAAAAATATAATAATGCTTTCTCTAATTTATTTCTACTGTTTTCACAGTTGAAAAAAATCTGTGTAATATTATTGAGCATATACAAAATAGGAAATATAAGTAATACTAGAGGCCCGGTGCACAAAATTCATGCACAGGTAGCGTCCCGTCCCTATGCTTGGCTGGAGATCGGCGATCAGGTTCCCCGCCTCCCCACCTCCTCCTTCCCTCGCCGCCCATGTGCCACCACTGCGTGGTTCCCCTGCCTCCCTGCCTCTCCACCTCTCCACCTCCTCCTTCCCTTGCTCCTTCAGCGCCCTGCTTCCACCACTGGTCGCCCACCATGTTCCGTGCCACCCCCCTGGTGATCAGCACATGTCATAGCAAGCAATCAAACTCCTGGTCTCTCAGTAGAACTCCTGAGGGGGACACTTTACATATTAGCCACAGATATAGATATGGATATGGATATAGATATAGATATCGATTAGATATAGATAGATATATAGATATAGATAGATATAGATAGACATATATATAGATGTATGGTTCTATGATGCTTAACAGGGGAGTTCAGCTCTTGCAGTGGTGACAGTCTGGAGCCAACTTAAGGATGATAAGGGTATCTTTCTAACTCTTTGGAAACCCAGTGGTGACTAGAAGATACGCAGTGATTTTTCTCTGACTTTTACTGAACAGAAACATAGTCAGCTTTGTTGGTTGCCAAGGGATTCCTCTGGATATGTGGTCATTCCTTTTTAGCATTAGTTCACCAGTGACAAGGAATAGAGTACCCAATGGGTTTCTAATGGGCTTTTAAGATGGTATTTGCCTAATACGGAAATACATGATTCTTTTCCAGTCATGGTAAAATTACTAGTGCTTTTGGATGAAAGAGAACTTAAAAGCATAAGCATTAGAGATGTTCTTTGCATTTGTGTTCGGTATCGTTCACTATGTGTTCACTCTGCACTGACACCAGTGTACCTTAATTTGATTTCTAAATCTTTTTAATGATTGGTTATCCATAACTAGTTAAAATGATCAAATTTCATCCCCTCCTTATCAGAAGGTTCACTGGTCAAATACATAAAAATAGATTCTTGAGGAAGCATTTTCAAGTCTAAGCCAGTGGCTCACTTACTGGAACCAGGATCATACTGCAGAGGAATTTGAACATCTATAGAAATTCTGAGAATAAAAAATTTGATCCATAAAATACTTTGAAGTGGATATGCCAAAACTAAACTTTACTGATTTAGAAAATTTTATTTTGACAGAAGCGATCCAAGCAGCGGAAGTTGCAGCAGAAGGCCTTACGCAAGAGGCAGCTGAAAGAGCAGAGGCAGGCTCGGAAGGAGCGGCTCAGTGGGCTCTTTCTTAACGAAGAAGTGCTGTCCTTGAAAGTGACTGAGGAAGACCATGAAGCAGATGTAGATGTTTTGATGTAAAAATGGTGAAGTTATCAACGTTCTTTCCAAGCATTATTTGTTTACATGCATCTTGACCAAGCTTTTGGTTAGGGCTGTGCTGATGTACAATTAATAATTTAGGCCAGTGGTTCTCAGCAGGATCATCGTCTTCAGCATCACTTGAGAAGTTGTTAGAAATGCATACTATGGGGCCCCACCCTAAACCTAGGGAATCAGAAACCCTGGGGGAGAGGCCTAGCATTGTATTGTAATAAGCACCAGGTTATTTTATCCTGCATGCTAGCTTTAAGAACCACTGATTTAGTAAATGTTGTTTTGACTATTTAAACTTTAGGTTGGTTAAGTAGGCTTTTTCAAATATTAGTAATTTTAAAGTTTAGAAGATTTCAAGGTACTGCTGACAAGTAGTTTATTATGTCTGTATATGTATATGTGTAGAGATCATAATTCAGTTTCCTTAATGTTATAATTTCTTAGTTTATATTTTCTAAAGGGCCATAGCATAATTCTCAATTTCTTGTGGAAGTCTTTTTTTGAGGTTTTGGGGATGGAATGTGGATTGCTATCTACAATAGTGCCTTCATTAAGTTTATTTCTATCTGTTTTCATTCATTGTTAACTCAAAAGTGTAAAACCAGGCCCTATTATCTTTCTTGTTAGGTTTGTTTTTTTCTTTTCACTTTATGTACATTTAGTATCCTTTTTGTAAGTGATGACTACTGAGGAAATAGTGTTACTAACAGCTGAATTTTAAGACTTGATGCTATGTTCATTAATATTCAAATGAGAAAGCAATGAACAAAATAACCCATTCTACTCTTTCACTGCTTTCTAAAGTTTTAGGCTGTGAAACTGTCTGAAAGGCAGAAAATATCTCTTAAGTTCTTTTTGTGGGTCATTTTTTTTTCCAGCACAGCTCTAATTTTTAAATAGTTGGTGTAACAGCTTCTGGCATGTGAACAGGTTAATGTTCAAAATTAACTAAAGGAAACCCTTCAGTTCTGTTAACCTTCCCTATAAATCTTTAAAATACATACAGCAGTGAGATAATAGAAAAAACCTTAGCTTGTTGGCAGTTAAAATAGAACTAATTTTAAATGTGAAATTATAGTTTCTTTAATGATTTTATGGAGAGTTTGTTATGAACATTCACAATAGTGTGACTCCTTTTCTTCTACCACACATCTTTAATCATTCATATGGATTAAAGAAGTTGGAAACTAATACTACTGACAATCAAGCTGCTTTCTGACCTTCATAATTTTTATTTTATTGTAGATAACTTTTGAAAGGTAATTGTGATACTGTAGGAGTTGCAGTCCATATCTTTAAAGCTAGAGTCAGAGGTTGATGGGAATTTCTACTTTTTTAACTTATTATACCAAGTAACTTGTTAAGATAAAGATTAATGGCTTAAATTCTTAATTTAAAGTTCTTAATCTAAATATAAAGGCATAACCTTTGCTTACAGTCATGTGTTTTGAAAATTTGATTTCATTTTGGTTCCTTGAAGGTTAAAGAATTGAAACTGAGGATAAAAATTGATATATTGCAGCTTTGCTGAGGCCTGTAACATTTTGAAGACCATTAAATTCATACTTTAAAATGTTACTAAAATTTAAGAAGTATATATGTGTACTAGTATATGTTTATCAGTTGGAATAGTCTTTCTGACTTTCCTCTTACCTCCTCTTTGGTGCTCCTAACCAGCTGAGAGGGCCCAACGAGAGCTTGGGGATAGACCCAAGAATACTCTGAGGAAGGTGGAAGGGTCAACCTCCTTGTGTTTTCCTTTTCAAGTATAGGGAGAGTAAATGGAGAGAAGAATAAATACAGCTGAATTCTCTATTTGCTCTTAGCAAAAACAAATTTCAGAGAATGATTGTTCTCTTCACTCTTCAAGGAAAACAGGCCCGTTTTGGAGACCGCAGAGCAGACTTGATCTGTTAAATACTTGGAAACAGTTTACCTGACAGTGACCAGTAAAAGAAAATCCTAAACAGGGTTGTGATGTAATAAGACCAATTCCTCTACTCTCCCAACAATCACATAGTCTTATTACCTCAGATTTAACGTAGGTCACTATTTAAACAAGTTTACCAAAGCACCACAAAGCCAATTTTAAAAGTATATAAAGGTTTGAGAGTTTATGGTAAAGTGTGCCATGAAATTTTGTGTAGATCTGGATGGACTGTCTTTACAGTACTATAAATTAAAGATAACTCATAAAGTTGGTTTGAAGGAGATTGAAATACTTCCTCTTATTAAAACGAAAAAAAGTAACACAACTTGGGTTTGCTTATGATTAAAGAGGGAGATTACAGTGTTCTCCATCCCCCTTCAAAAAAACTCGGGAGAAAAAGACAAAAAGTCTTTGTTAACATGCTATTTTCTTGTTCTGTTTTAATGCCTTATGTAGATAATATAAGTTTGAATTACTTCTTTCTTGGAATAAGTAATAATTTATTCAATCTGGTATATCTCTGAGTTCAATTCAAAAGAAACCCAACTCTGTTTTTTTTTTTTTTCTTTTAAGCCCTAACTAAGCCTTGTTAACGGAGAACATGATAAAGCCCCCTCAGATTTATCCGGAAACATTTTATTAGAGATCTTGTATGTATGTCATTATATCTCGATAAAATGGAAAAAAAGAGATAGAAGTCTGTCAGTCCCCACTACAGCTTTTTAAAATATGAATCTTGAGTTAAACAAAATGGCATGTCTTTTTCTACAGTATTTCAATGAAATTAAAGTAAGGTGGTATAGTTTAAGAAATAGTGGAGTGTAAAGGGCTAGTTCATTCTGTCCCAATAAGAACTTAAAGTAACACCTTTTTGCTTTCATAAGACTTGTCTCATTTTTTGTTAAGCTGTGGTGGTTTTGTCCATTTCCTCAGTCTTTATTATTAAGTTAATATTGCTTATAAATTAATCACAGAAACTGACTTATCATTTATGGATTTGGTGGACATCTCATTTTATAGTTTTTAAATGTGCTAAATCCCCTCATAAAGAAAAAATTCAAAGAACCTATAGTATAAAGGTATCCAGATTCTGATGAGCTTTAAAAACTGTGAAATTTATCAAATGTGTTAATATTTAGGCTAAAAATGTTAGTTACTAGTAACTAACAAATATAGAAGTCTTGTTTCTAGATTCTCTAGCAGAGTTTTTTGTTCATGGCTCACTCTATATAGCCTCATGTGCCTTAAAGGTGAACTCTACTTTTTTGTCAATATCAAGCTTTTCCAAACTAAGAAATAATCTGAATGTTATAATTAATTTTGTAAAATGCCCATGCTGTTGGATATCAGTAAGCAAAGCCATTAAATTGAACCAATAAATTGGTAATAACGTGTATAAAACAAAACACCTTCAGATTTTAAATTTCATTTGCCTAACTTTGTTTTGGCCCATCTAGGTCATTGAAGAATATTGAAAGTTATCTAAAACATAGCTTAATGTATTCTTTTATTGCCCCCACTCCCACCCCCTGAAGAATGTCATAAGCCAAAATACTTTTAAAACCAGATAATTCTTTAATATCTGGAAAGATAATTTTTAATGCAAAAGTACTTCCAGAACAGAGATTATATAGCAAGTTTATTCTTTTGTTAACTTTAGGGATTCTTTGCATTTATTTGTGTAATAGCCGGAACACTCCTCTCTCCTTTAACAAATCACCTTTTAGCACTCCTATCTCCAAGAAAAATGTTTGTTTGGAATTGGAAGGGAGTTATTTAAAGTTAGTTTATAGTTTTAGAGGATTATTAGGAAAATTCCAAGTTGCATTTAAATATAAATTAATCACAGAAACTGACTTATCATTTATGGATTTGGTGGACATCTCAAGTTCTCAATAATAGTATTAATGGTAAGCACACTGACATTCAACATGTCTAAACTTAGAGGTAAATTTAATCCTTAAAAAGACTATTAGTTAGAAAATAAGTATTTGTATATACATGGACTGTGGTAACTTTGGATTTGTTTTAAGTCTGACAAAGTAAGATAAATTTTGTCTTTATAATGAAATTATGTTAAATGAGTAAGAAGCATCTGAGAGGTATTTAGACCTAGGCATCTCTGTCAGCATAGTATCTGGAGCATACCTCCTTAGAACGCTTAATTCTTATTTCTTTGGAAAATAATTTACTTATTCCAAAAGGTGTAGAAAGAACTCAAATTACTCTAATTAGCTGGATATTAAGAGTAAGGAAGTTGCATGGTGTAGCTGAAGATCTGAGTTCATTCACTGACAGTTTATTTTCATTTTTTTCTAATAACATTATTTTCAGCCCCCTCACAATTATATTTTAAATTAAGGTTATTAATGTTTTAACCTAGTTCACGTTATGGTAAATAATTTTTTAATTTACATTCATATTGAACTCAGAAAAACTGGTTTGGTCTTCTCAGACTTTAATATGGAGTACTTTTTCTTTATTGTCAAGTTTCGATGTTGCGTCTTTGGTCAGTGGAATCTATGGAAATATGTGTTCTTTCGTTGTGGTAAGGGATGCGAGTGGAAAAGAGGAGAATTGCTCTAATTATACTTAGGCATTTTGACTATATAAAGATAGTTGTAGACTTAATCTGTATAAATGACAAGTTAATATTTACATATTCTGAATTGTTCTAAGGAACAGTGGCCTGAAACCATGGCTTGTTTTGTGGAGCTGCTTGATCTTTAATGGTAGTTGACCAATTGGACTTAAGTTGAAGTTTTGGGGTACGTTATCTAGCTCAGGCTTTTAGGAATAGAGCAGACCAGGTCTGCTTCTGTAGTGGATCAATTTAATTTCCTTTTTAAGTACTCTAATTTAGATATAGGTAGTATCCATTCTGAATCTTTGTGTTGGGAGTTTTATAAGACTGTTGTCAAAAGCTATTAAGGATAAACACAAGTATATGTGAAGCATTTCACAGATAGTTAAAATTTTCCTTTTTTTGGTTTCAAAGGTTAGTTCTATAGCATCAATATCATAACCAAAGCAAGTAGGAATTTGACTCATTTGGAGACTCTTCAAGTAGTCTTAAATGGTGTAATATATCAGATTGTTAACCAGGATTTTTTTTCCTGTGTTTCTGCTAAATGTATTATTATATTCATGCACTTTTGTATATAACTGTCTTCTGTACGTTCTGTACTTATTACAGTGGACATAAGATTTTTCCTGAAGCTGTGAGGGAAAAACAATAGGTGTAACACAAGTCATTTCAATTTTGAGTTTCTTCTTGTACTTGAAATTAGTAGTTCAGTATTTAAATCTAAATGAGTATGTATGGTTGTAATGAAAACTGGAAATGTGACAGAACTGTCTTTTGAAACAATATCAGAATGAAAAGCGTTGTTTTGGTTATTAAGAACTCTTGTAATATGTTAATTTTTTATGTACCATGAGTTTTTACAAATTCCAGTGCTGCTGAATCCACTTCTTGTCATATTCCATCCCAGTACACTTATCAAGAGAGAAGAACTGCTCTCAATTTATTTTGCTTACAGTTTGGTTAAGGCTTCATAAACTTTTGTTTTAAAAGCCTCAAGTTCTCAAATTTCATTGGCAAATTATTTTCTTCTGCAAAGATCAAATTTCTATAGAGATTAGCATTCACAGTAAGTGAAAATTAGGTCTAACTTTTATTTACAAAAAAATCAGATCTATTTTCCTTATATATTGATCTAGAATCTTTTAAAGTTATAATTATATAAAAGAAATGGCTGTGAGCAGTTTATATATAGATACAGAAGCAATTCGGCTTTTCAGCAGCAACTTTCTCTCTTGCCACCAGAGGGAGGTGGTTGCTCGCTCCTTCAGAAACATCTTAGCTGCTTTTCTTTTGTTTTTAATTTTAGAGGTTGAAATCAGCCTCAGTCTCAAAACTCCTTTTGTGATATTAAATTCTTTCATTTATTAGTCCAAGGTGAGTTAATTAAGCTTGTGTAATAAAGCCTGTCTTATTCATGCTTTTCCATAATCTTCAGTGTTTAATAAATGTTAGATATTACTTGAAACTTTTGTGTGGATGTGTTTTTTTTGGTGTGTGTGGGGTGTTTTCTTTTAGGTATTTTAGAGCTGTGTTGTCCATTATGGTAATTACTAGCTACATGTGGCTATTTAAATAAATTAAAATTTAAAGTTTAGTTCTTTGGTCCCGTTAACAGCACTTCAAGTACCAAATAGCCACATACAGCAAGAGGCTACTACTATAGAGACATATCATCATACCTCCATCATCAAAGATGGTTTATATAGTGACTTTGTTATAATGCAGATTTTAATTCAGTAGGTCAGGGGTCACAGTCTAATATTCTGTAGTTTTAGCAGCTATTCAAGTGATATGAATGCTGCTGATCCATGAACAGCATTTTGAGTAGTGAGGGTCAGAACAAAGACCAGAAAATCTACAACACAAGAGCCTCCATGCTCTGATGGGCCCCAATCTACTTTCCAGTTTCATCTTCTATGAATTTCTTTCTTTACCCCACACTCAAACCAACTCAATACTATATTTATAGTATTCACCTTATGTGACCCTCAAGGATTGTGGTGACTCAAGCCTTTGTTCAGTCCCCTTCCTTTGGGCGTGGACTGGACCTAGTGATTTACTTCTAACTGTTAGAATACAGCAAAAGTGATGGGATGTCACTTCTGTCATTAAATTACAGAAAACTATGACACCTATCTTGCTTGTACTTGTACTCTCATCTTCTCACTTACACTGATGAAATAAGCTGCCATGCTGTGACATTCTCTGTGGGGAGGCCCACTTGGTAAGGAAGTGAGAGACAACAGCCCATGGTATGACAGCCCACGAGGAATTGAATCCTACCTGCAATTCTTAGTGAGCTAGAAAGTGGATCCTTCCCAGTGGAGCCTGTAGATGACTGCAACCTGGTGAGAGATCTTGAGCTTAAGCACCCATCTAAGTCATGTACAGATTCCTGAACCACAGAAACTGAAGTAATCAATGTGTATTGTTTTAAGCTGCTAAAGTTTGGCATAAATTATCATGCGGCAATAGATAAGTAATACATTATTTACTAAATATACCATGAAATGACTTCCTGTTATATCCTTCTCATCAAGCAAAAGAAAACTCAGATGCTGCTTCTTCATTCAGCATTATTTGCTGGATGCCTACTCTATGCGAGGAACACTGTGTTAAGTACGAGGGGATACACAGTAAATAAACAGGCATAGTCTTTGCCATCACACAGCTTATATTCTTTGGCATTGGTTTTCAGCATTTCACAAAAGAGAGAACCAAGATGTGTTTCATTAAAGGAGAGCTATTTTTAATGCCAAGAAAGAAAAAAATAATATAAAGTAATATATGAAAAGCCTTTCCACCTACCTGAGCAGGTATAACTGTTTACAGTAGTATTATACAGCAGAAAAGACTAGAGGGGTGCTGGGCGAGAGGGGTGGAGTCATGGATGGAGCTGAAAAGGGGCAGGACTGGAGTGCCCTCATTCCAAAGCCCACACTTTTAACCTCTCATAGTAAGTTACATTTTTGCTCATACTGTTGCCTTTTTCTGCCATCTCTGCCTAGAGGAAATCCTGTCCTATCAAGGCGCATTTCAAGTGCAGCCTCCTTTGTGACACCTTCCCTGATTTCATGCTCTCCTTGTCTAACAGATGACAGCCCTCCTGTTGCTGAGATTGGAGATAAGGAAGAACCAGGCCTCTGAGAGGTCACAGCAGTGAATTCAAATTTTAACCACATAGAAACCACATTTGGGAGGACATGGGGACACCTCACTGAATAGGAAAAGGGTCTTTTCTATCCAGAAACTATGGACAATAGGCCACCCTCTAACTGAGCATGTGCAGTTGGAAGTGTTCATGACACAATGGCTGGGGAGCAATGTGGAGGGAAGGTGGCAAGAATTCCAGAAAGGCAAATCATCTGAAAAGCTTGTTTTAAAGATAAGCTGGTAGTTTACAGTCCCAGATATTGTTGACTGACACTTGCAGTGGAGTCTAGGAATCTGCTCTTTAAACAAGTGCCTCAAGTATTTCTGATGTAGGTGGTCTATGGAGCACTCGGAAATATGGCTCAAAGTAAGGTGATCTGGATCACCTTGGCTACATGTCACCTAGACACTTCTAAAACTAACAATGGACAAGCCCCACCCAGGACCAAAAAAATCAGAATTGTTGGGGAGTGAACCCAGGCAGTAGAGTTTAAAACTCCTCATATTGTTCTAATAATGCAGCCAGGGTTGAGAGCCAGTGATCTGAATAACAGGAAGTCCTTTTCCTGGTGCCAGGGAGAAGGGAGAATCTGAGAGGCTGAAAAGTAAATACATTAAAAATACAAGTATATTTCATTGTGATTTTTCACTTTAATACAATTTATACTTTCATGTTAATTTTCCTTAAGCAATACCTTTGAATCCTTCCGTTATTTGAGGAACTATGAGCAGAATTTAGATCAATTCAATAAACATGCATTACTTGGCAACCATGGATGCTCTCTGGACCCTGCAGTAACTACAAAGATGATCCTAGTAATGA